ATAATCCTTTTCTTGTTACACAGACCTAAGAATGAAACTCCTTAAGATGCACTTCACCTTTACTCAGCTCATCTCCACTAGGTGACAATTGCTAGAGTATCCATTGCCTCTAAACTTTTGCTCTACTAGGTGACAACTGACTAAGATTTCTTATTGACTTCCACCATCAATTTCTACACTTCACAAGAGGATCTAGAACTCACTCATATTGTTTACATCCAAGAAGAGTCTTTAGGGTTGTGGACAATGTATAATAATTTTCTCAAGATTTTAAAATTTTAATGATTACCACTACGATGTTGGAACTCTACTTTTCTTATTTTAAACTTGATTATTTTTTAAATTAATAAGATGTTTTATGATTTTAACTTTTAAAACTTTTCTTTAGTCAATTATAATTTTTTTAACTTTTACAAATCTTAATTTGATCAATTAATTTATCTGTAATAAATTACATAAAAATCATTAAGTGGAACTCTATTTTCATTCAAATCACATATATTAAGGCACTAGTATCAGCACCAATTTTTTCTTCAGTGTCGAACTTCCTCTCTACTAGGTAACAATAGTTAGAAATATCTTATCAACTTCCACCATTAATTTCTAGACTTCATAAGAGGATCTAGAGATTGCCTATAATAGTATTTGAGGTTATGAAGATTGCATAATAGTCTTCCTAAGCTTTCAAAATTCTAACGATTGCCACTACAATGTTGGAAATCTATTTTTCTTACTTAAAACTTTATTATTTTTTAAAAAAATTAATGAAAAAATATGATTTTAAATTTTAAAATACTTATGTAGTCAATTATGATTCTTTTTACTTCTACATATCTTAATTTGATCAATTAAATCATATGTAATCACTAAGTCAAACTTTATTTTTGTCTAAATTGTAGTAGTGAAGACATTGATGTCACCACCAAAATTTCTTTTTTTAAAATATTTAAATTGATTTTCTCTTCATCATTTAGTCTAAAAAGTATATAAAAAATATTATTTTAAAATAATTTAAAATTTTCACCTGATGTTATTTTATATTTTTGTGATTGTCATGAAAAATGCTCATTATTTTTATAGCCATTTAAGTAATTATAATTGATATACTAATGTTGAAATACTTCTAAAATTTGAAAACTAATATTTTTTAGTTTTATAAATTTTAAATTTATGTGATTTATTATACAATAATTAAGTCATGTCATTAACGTGGGTGGTAAGTAGAAAGAGTAAAGCTAAGGTACGAGCTGTTGAGAGTTATAATCTACTTTTAGATGGTGTTGTTCTTTAATGAGAATTATATATTGACTTAGGCACGTGGTGTTGATAATTAAGACATACTCATGAGGATTGAAATGTATTTGAAGATCAAACAGTGGTGTTTGGGAGAGCTGAGCTCATGAAGTTAGCTATATTTCTAGAGACAAATAATGAAAATTTAGTAAGGGGATCCTCTTGGACTAGACGTGGCCCGAGGTAGAGATAATTAATATAAAAACCTATATGTGTATCATATTTACAAATGGGAGAGAGAGATAGAGAGAGAGAAACTAGAGTGACCATGTGATAAAAAGAAAAGACTTAGGTGAATTTACATATAAGAACAAGAGAAACTATGTTAAAACAAATGCTGACACATATACACATAGACATAACACTTGAATAGAACAAAAAACCTCGGGAAACTAGTTCACTCCCCCCATCCCCCCTTCTTGGTACTTCACATAGTCACATCTAACTAACACCAACCACCACAAACTAACTTGACTATCTAGTATGCGCCAACCTAATATTTTGGTCAAAATTATCTCAAACCACTTGGTTCATACTAGCCCGTCTCACTAACCCAAACTGTTCCAAACCACCTAGTTTGTGCTAGCCAACCTTGTTTGCTTCTAATCAATCAACCTAATCAACCAAGGCAGACCAATTAGTGGTCAACAACCTAGTCAATAGTTAACAACTTAGTCAATGGTCAATGACCTAGTCAACTATAAACTACTTGGTCAACAATTAACAGTTGTCAACTATCCACAATTGGAGTCAAGCTTCAACCTATGTTCTTCCACCATTTAGTCACTTATTCTCATGCCAATGTTCTTAATAAATCATCCTTTTTTTAGAATTTCAGTATTTTGTTTATTTAGTATATTACCTCACTATATTACTATTGTGTGAGCCTTAGATAAATTCACTTATTGTCATAATTGATGGTGAGTGTAGAGTGAGAACTCAATTGATTAAATTTAATCAAATTAATGATTGTGGAGTATTTTAATAATTTATGATTTCCTAATTGTGATGATTCATTTGTTTCAAATCTTGCAGAAAGATACTCAGTCCTACCCAGTCAATCTACTTAAATTCTTGAATCCATTACAAGATTTAAGTCTAGTTATTTCTCTAAGATAGCTTAGTCCTTTCTCATCATGTCTCGGATCAAAATATCAGGTTAAAGATAACACATTGGCCTTTTTCTGTTGGCACTCTGGGAATAGAACACTACTATGATATCAGGCTGAATCCCTCTTGTCAGGACACCTCTTGTCTTTCTCCCCCTCTTGTTCTCATTTGAAAGCCGCCGATCACTATTTTTCATGGTGTTCTATCCCTGTTCTTGGCTTCCCTTCTCCAGTTGACATACAGGGGATGTAGGAAAAAAACCAAAATCATAGTCACGCCACTTAAGTTAGTGCTAATGATTTACGTTTTAACTGTGACTTGGCTGCACTAGACTCAACCCTAATGTGGGCTACACCATGGATCCACTATCCATCCCCCCCTCATGCCTCTATCTTGTCAGCAGGGAATTGAAATCTCTACAAATATCGTTTTGGTATAATAGGTTTTATGTCATAATGTTGTATTTTACATGTTCTTGGGAAATTGCCAGAAACTAATGGCCAGGTATAGCACCAGAAGAACAAGCACAAGGCGCACAATATCCACAAAGCAATCAATATTCCAGAATGAGAAGGGAGAAGATCCGTACACAGATCTAGTATCATGGGCAGAGAGGTTAATACACCTCAGGGTCACCAAAAGAAGAGAAGAGCCACTGTGAGTGAGGAAACAAGCTACGAAGAAATTGAGGAGAATACACTCACAATCAAGGCACCAAAGTGAGAGATGACGCATCCACAATTTCTGCCGCCTGTGAGGAAGGGTTTCCGTCTTGATTTTTCTCTGCCGCACGATTCAGTCTTCTGCAGCCGGCCCACCCGCACCGTCCCAAAACGTCTCCTCTACGGGGACCACGGGGTTTCAATGTAATGTTGATGCAGATGTAACCTGTCGAAGTCTAACTCATGGTAACATTTGGTGTGGTAGGATAATCTGCATCAGCTGAAAGGCGGACGACTGGTTTCACGTCTCCGGTGAAATGTCGAAGTTGCTGGTTCTTGCCGACAATGCCAATTCACGACAACTAGTCCTATTATACAAGAAAAACATGCAGATGGCCGACCCATTTTGCCTACCGACGTTCTCGGTGTAGGAAATAAAATTTTCAATGGATATTGCGCTAACGTTTTTTGTATGAAGAAGAGAGCGGAGGAGGGATTTAAATGAACGGGGAGACTTCCTTCCCCATTCCAGGACGGAAACTAAGGATGGTAACTGCGGATTTGATCCTCCCTGGCATTCTTCTCTGCTGCCTTGCTGTTCCTCTCCTTCTTCTCCGTTCCTTTGGACGGAAACCGAGGCTCAACTTGCCTCCTGGCCCTCTTGGGCTACCCTTCATCGGGAATCTCCATCAGCTAGGAAAGAACCTCCATCGCTCCCTCCTCCGCTTGGCAAATAATTATGGGCCTCTCATGTACCTGAAGCTCGGTAGCGTCTCAACCCTCATCATCTCCAATGCCGACATGGCTGAAGAAATCCATAGGTCGCACGATTCAGTCTTCTGCAGCCGGCCCACCCGCACCGTCCCAAAACGTCTCCTCTACGGGGACCACGGGGTTTCAATGTAATGTTGATGCAGATGTAACCTGTCGAAGTCTAACTCATGGTAACATTTGGTGTGGTAGGATAATCTGCATCAGCTGAAAGGCGGACGACTGGTTTCACGTCTCCGGTGAAATGTCGAAGTTGCTGGTTCTTGCCGACAATGCCAATTCACGACAACTAGTCCTATTATACAAGAAAAACATGCAGATGGCCGACCCATTTTGCCTACCGACGTTCTCGGTGTAGGAAATAAAATTTTCAATGGATATTGCGCTAACGTTTTTTGTATGAAGAAGAGAGCGGAGGAGGGATTTAAATGAACGGGGAGACTTCCTTCCCCATTCCAGGACGGAAACTAAGGATGGTAACTGCGGATTTGATCCTCCCTGGCATTCTTCTCTGCTGCCTTGCTGTTCCTCTTCCTTCTTTTCCGCTTCTTTGGACGGAAACCGAGGCTCAACTTGCCTTCTGGTCCTCTTGGCCTGCCTTTCATCGGGAGTCTCCATCAGCTAGGAAAGATCCTCCACCGCTCCGCTTGGCAAATAATATGGTCCTCTCATGTACCCGAAGCTCGGCGGCGTCTCAACCCTCATCGTCTCCAATGCTGACATGGCTGAAGAAATCCATAGGTCGCACGATTCAGTCTTCTGCAGCCGGCCCACCCGCACCGTCCCAAAACGTCTCCTCTACGGGGACCACGGGGTTTCAATGTAATGTTGATGCAGATGTAACCTGTCGAAGTCTAACTCATGGTAACATTTGGTGTGGTAGGATAATCTGCATCAGCTGAAAGGCGGACGACTGGTTTCACGTCTCCGGTGAAATGTCGAAGTTGCTGGTTCTTGCCGACAATGCCAATTCACGACAACTAGTCCTATTATACAAGAAAAACATGCAGATGGCCGACCCATTTTGCCTACCGACGTTCTCGGTGTAGGAAATAAAATTTTCAATGGATATTGCGCTAACGTTTTTTGTATGAAGAAGAGAGCGGAGGAGGGATTTAAATGAACGGGGAGACTTCCTTCCCCATTCCAGGACGGAAACTAAGGATGGTAACTGCGGATTTGATCCTCCCTGGCATTCTTCTCTGCTGCCTTGCTGTTCCTCTCCTTCTTCTCCGTTCCTTTGGACGGAAACCGAGGCTCAACTTGCCTCCTGGCCCTCTTGGGCTACCCTTCATCGGGAATCTCCATCAGCTAGGAAAGAACCTCCATCGCTCCCTCCTCCGCTTGGCAAATAATTATGGGCCTCTCATGTACCTGAAGCTCGGTAGCGTCTCAACCCTCATCATCTCCAATGCCGACATGGCTGAAGAAATCCATAGGTCGCACGATTCAGTCTTCTGCAGCCGGCCCACCCGCACCGTCCCAAAACGTCTCCTCTACGGGGACCACGGGGTTTCAATGTAATGTTGATGCAGATGTAACCTGTCGAAGTCTAACTCATGGTAACATTTGGTGTGGTAGGATAATCTGCATCAGCTGAAAGGCGGACGACTGGTTTCACGTCTCCGGTGAAATGTCGAAGTTGCTGGTTCTTGCCGACAATGCCAATTCACGACAACTAGTCCTATTATACAAGAAAAACATGCAGATGGCCGACCCATTTTGCCTACCGACGTTCTCGGTGTAGGAAATAAAATTTTCAATGGATATTGCGCTAACGTTTTTTGTATGAAGAAGAGAGCGGAGGAGGGATTTAAATGAACGGGGAGACTTCCTTCCCCATTCCAGGACGGAAACTAAGGATGGTAACTGCGGATTTGATCCTCCCTGGCATTCTTCTCTGCTGCCTTGCTGTTCCTCTTCTTCTTTTCCGCTTCTTTGGACGGAAACCGAGGCTCAGCTTGCCTTCTGGTCCTCTTGGCCTGCCTTTCATCGGGAGTCTCCATCAGCTAGGAAAGATCCTCCACCGCTCCTCGGCTTGGCAAATAATATGGTCCTCTCATGTACCCGAAGCTCGGCGGCGTCTCAACCCTCATCGTCTCCAATGCTGACATGGCTGAAGAAATCCATAGGTCGCACGATTCAGTCTTCTGCAGCCGGCCCACCCGCACCGTCCCAAAACGTCTCCTCTACGGGGACCACGGGGTTTCAATGTAATGTTGATGCAGATGTAACCTGTCGAAGTCTAACTCATGGTAACATTTGGTGTGGTAGGATAATCTGCATCAGCTGAAAGGCGGACGACTGGTTTCACGTCTCCGGTGAAATGTCGAAGTTGCTGGTTCTTGCCGACAATGCCAATTCACGACAACTAGTCCTATTATACAAGAAAAACATGCAGATGGCCGACCCATTTTGCCTACCGACGTTCTCGGTGTAGGAAATAAAATTTTCAATGGATATTGCGCTAACGTTTTTTGTATGAAGAAGAGAGCGGAGGAGGGATTTAAATGAACGGGGAGACTTCCTTCCCCATTCCAGGACGGAAACTAAGGATGGTAACTGCGGATTTGATCCTCCCTGGCATTCTTCTCTGCTGCCTTGCTGTTCCTCTCCTTCTTCTCCGTTCCTTTGGACGGAAACCGAGGCTCAACTTGCCTCCTGGCCCTCTTGGGCTACCCTTCATCGGGAATCTCCATCAGCTAGGAAAGAACCTCCATCGCTCCCTCCTCCGCTTGGCAAATAATTATGGGCCTCTCATGTACCTGAAGCTCGGTAGCGTCTCAACCCTCATCATCTCCAATGCCGACATGGCTGAAGAAATCCATAGGTCGCACGATTCAGTCTTCTGCAGTCGGCCCACACGCACCGTCCCAAAACGTCTCTTCGGGGGCCACGGCGTTGTTTTCGCCTCCTACAGCGAGGGGTGGCGCCAGCGCCGCAAGATCAGCATGCTCGAGCTGTACACCACGAAACGGGTCCAATCCTTTAGGCACATCCGAGAGGAGGAGGTGCGGATCCTCGTCAAGACAATCACCGAGACCTCCACCGCTGGTCAGCTGTCCAATATCAGCGATATGACTCTCTGCCTATTCAACAACATCATCTGCCGGCAAGCTTTCGGCAGGCGCGTCTCGAAGGACGGCGAGTGCCGGAGGAGCAAGTTTCACGACCAGCTGAGGGAGTACGTCGAGCTCTCAAGCATCTTCTGTCTTTCCGACTTCTTCCCCGCGATGGGATGGCTCAACAAGCTCACAGGCCTCCACGGTCGCCTCGAGAAGACTTTCAGTATTTTCGACAACCTCCTCGAGGAAGAGATCGAGAACCACCTGAAGCCCGACAACGACGACAACAGAGACTTCATGAGCATCCTCCTTCACCTCCAGAAAGATACCTCCCTCGGGTTCAGCCTTACGCAAGAACAAATCAAGAGCATCATCTTGGTAAGCTAGTTTTCTTATTACAGAATCCAAATATATATTTATTTATATTCGTTTGCGCTCACTTGTTTTCTTGTTTTGCAGGAGATCTTCTTGGGCGGGTCAGACACATCGGCTTCGGCCATTGAATTCGGGATGCTGGAGCTGGCTTTGAACCCGCGTGTAATGAAGAAGGCGCAGGAGGAGGTACGGAGAATTGTTGGGGGGAAGGCCTTTGTGGAGGAGAGCGACCTTCCGAGACTCGTCTACCTCAAACTCGTAGTGAAGGAGATTCTCCGCTACCGCCCTCCCGGCCCGATATCCTTACCCCATGAGAGCTTGAAGGACGTCAAAGTTTGCGGCTACGATATCCCCGCCAAGACGACGGTGATCACAAACGTATGGGCTATTATGAGGGATCCCAAGTTTTGGACGGACCCCGAGGTATTCTGGCCAGAGCGCTTTGAGGACAGCGATCTCCATTTCAAGGGGCAGGACTTCCAATACATACCCTTTTCGTCCGGCCGGAGAATCTGCCCTGGAATAAACCTGGGGGTGACCGGCGTGGAACTCACCCTCGCAAACCTTCTGCATTGCTTCGACTGGGAGCTGCCCGAGGGGATGGAGCCCGAGGATTTGGACACGAACGAGGCTGGCGGGGTCATTTTACGCTTGAAAACCCCTCTCCAGCTGAAGGCGAAGCCCGTTTTTTAGCACGTTGGTCTTCTCAGCATCCTTGGTTGCTGGTCTTCCACCGTGCTATGTAATCTCTCTTGCCGGAAGGACGATGAATATCTGCATTCCATGTACCAATCATAAACAAAAAGCATTAGCCTCATGCTAGAAATGTCACCAGGAGAACGGAGGTAAAACACAATTTTTCGTACTTCTCGTGGAACGTATTACACTATGACATGAAACCTTTTATCGAGCCTAAATAAAAATATTTGTCGAGATTGCACATCCCGACCGACAGGAGAGAGACATGAGCCGTGATGGACAGTGAGACCACAGTACGGCCCATTTGGGGGTAATCTGTGTCTCGATCCATTTGAGGGATCTGTCCTGCAAAGCTAGGTACGGGTTAAAAGGAGAGGACCAGGAACTAACAGAAGTGGCATGCCTATGAGTTGGGTTCTTTCTCTCGTCACCTCCAGTTCGTGAATTGAAGAAGGGAAGACAACAAGAGTGCTCCTTGGTGGCTTCCAACCGGAAGAAGAGTTGAAGAAATACAAAAAGTTTCCTTGAGAAGGGAAGACAACAAAAGGGATTCGGCCTGGTATCTTCGTGGTTTTCTATTTCCGGATTACCGAGAGGAAAAAGTCTGGCGTGTTTTCTTTAATCTCATTTTTTCTCTGACAAGATTATCTGGTTCATGGCCAAGACATACTCAGATTGTTCTTTTTGCGTTCGTATCGCAATGAACATTGTTTTAGCCTGCCCCATTATTTTTTCCCTCAACTTTAGGTTGGTTTCCACGGGTTATTTGTCATAGCCATCTGACTTTATTCACACATGCAAATCGGATACGTTTTTCATTTTAAATCATGGTCTTCTCTGCTGCCTTGCTGTTCCTCTCCTTCTTCTCCGTTCCCTTGGACGGAAACCAAAGCTCTACTTGCCTCCTGGCCCTCTTGGATCACCTTTCCTCGGGAATCTCCATCAGCTAGGAAAGATCCCCCACCGCTCCCTCCGCCTGGCAAATAATTATGTGCCTCTCATGTACCCGAAGCTCGGCGGCGTCTCAACCCTCATCGCCCCCAATGCCGATATGACTGAAGAAATCATAGATCAAATTATACGATTCTAAATCACATCTTTACATGAGTAAAGATGTGAATATAGTTGAAATATTTAATTATAAACATATATTTTTTTCCTATCAAGAGTTCAAATATTGGTTCAATGACTATGTTTAATAGTAATGATCTTAAATCTAGAATGATAATTAACAACACACGAAATCATTAATTTTATCAAATGTGCTTTCTAAAAACTACTAAAAGACCATAATTTTGAACTAATTACTTGATCATCGAAAATGCCCAAATGCTTGAAGTAAAATATCGGGACTAGTTTACTACCTAATACCAGTCACCACGATAAAATAAAAGAGAAAGAAGAGAAGTCCGGACGGACTTCTACTTTAGTTTGATTACGTCAACAAAACACAGCTGAAGCAAGTGACAAATGCATCTACTTTCTTTTTACTGGTGATACTTCTTTCATGATGCTAGCGATGATTTCTGTTGACGATTGATACATGGGATGGATATTTGGATGCATTGCGAGTTCTTCTTCCCCTCCAGAGAGACTACATACCACCGTGGAAGACAAACGTGCTAGAAAGCGGGCGTCGCCTTCAGCGGAGAGGGGTCTTCAGGTGGAAAAGAAGCCCGATAGCCTCGCTCGAGGCGACATCCTCAGGCTTCATGCCGTCGGGGAGCTCCTAGTTGAAGCAGTGCAGAAGGTTTGCGAGGGTGAGTTCCACGCTTGTCACCGCCAGGTTCATTCCAGGGCAGATTCTCCGGCCGGACAAGAAGGGTATGTAGTGGAAGTCATGTCCCTTGTACTGGAGATCGCTGTCCTCGAAGCGTTCCGGCCAGAAGACCTCGGGGTCCTTCCAGAACCCGGGGTCCCTCATAATAGCCCATATGTTGGCGATCACCATCGTCTTGGCGGGGATATCATAGCCGCGAACATTTACGTTCTTCATGCTCTGATGGGGAAACGGAATCGGGCCTGGAGGGCGGTGGCGGAGAACCTCCTTCACCACGAGTTTGAGGTAGGTGAGTTTGTGAAGGTCACTCTCCCCCACCATGTGCTTTCCCCCTACAAATCTCCGTACCTCCTCCTTCGCCTTGTTCATCACCCGCGTGTTCAAAGCCAGCTCCAGCATTCCGAACTCAATGACCGAAGCCGTAGTTTCTGACCCCCCCAAGAAGATCTCCTGTAAAACGAGACAAACAATCGGTGAGCTTAACCGACGGAGCGAATTAATATCTATAAGATTTGGATTCTTTAATTGTAAAAACTAGCATACCAAGAGGACAGTCTTGATTTGTTCCCGGGTAAGGTTAAACCCGAGGGAGGTATCTTTCTGGAGGCGGAGGAGGACGCTCATGAAGTCTCTGTCGTCTTCGTTGTCGCGCTTCAGGTGGTCCTCGATCTCTTCCTCTAGGAGGTTGTCCAAAAAAGTGAAAGCCTTCTCGAGTTGACCGTGGAAGCCGGTGAGCCAGTCGAGCCATCCCACCGAGGGGAAAAAGTGGGAGGGACAGAACGGACCCAGGAGCTTGGAAGACTCCCTCAGCTGGTCCTGGAACCTGCTCCTCCGGCACTCGCCGTCCTTCGAACAGCGCCTGCCGAAAGCTTGCCGGCAGATAATGTTGTTGATGAGGCAGAGGGCCATATCGCTGATGTTGGGGGGCTGTCCCGCGGCCGAGGTCTCGGCGATGGTCTTGACGAGGACGCGAACCTCTTCCTCTCAGATGGCCCTCAAGGATTGGATCAGCTTCGTGGTATACAGCTCGAGCATACTGATCTTGGGGAGCTGGCGCCAGCCCTCGCCGTAGGAGGCGAAGGCAACGCCGTGGCCCCCGTATGAGAGACGCTTGCCGACGGCGCTGGTGGGCCGGCTGCAGAAGACCGAATCGTGCAATCTATAGATCTCCTCGGCCATGTCGGCGTCGGAGACAACGAGGGTTGGGACGCTGCCGAGCTTCAGGTACATGAGAGGCCCATACTTCTTGGCCAGGCGGAGGAGGGAACGGTGAGGAATCTTTCCGAGCTGAAGGAGATTGCTGATGATAGGTAGCCCAGGGGGCCTGGAGGCAAGTTGAGCTTCGGCTTCCCTCCCAGGGACTGGAGGAGAAGGAGAGGAGCGGCAAGGAAGCAGAGGAGAATGCCCGAGAGGATTTGATCCGCAGTTAGCATCTTTTGTTTCTGTGGTTGAATGGCGGAGGAAGTCGACCCATTCATTTAAATTCTCCTGATTTTTGCTTTCTATAACATTTTTTCGTGGAAAATCCAATGAAACTTTATTGCCGACAACGACAAGGTATGGGCAGACGACTGTGCAGTGTACTTTGTTTTGTTGTTTAGTTGGAGCTAATTCCGGTGATCCCCGTTGCAACGATTGGAACTATATTTTCATTGTTTTAAACTATTTTAATCTCTAAATTAATGATAGTTTGTTTGAATTAAAGTTTGAAACTCTTCTTTAGTTCATTATGATTTATTTGGCATATCTCGATTTTATCAAGTTGGGATGCTGACGCCCGAATTTTACTTCTCTAATTTGAAAAAAGATTTTATTACGATGGTTTAGTTTAAAATTATAAAAAATCATATTCTTTCAAAAAAAAAAAAGTGAAACGTTACCTGATATTATTATATATTTATGTGATCGGTTTTTGAAAATTTTCATTATTTTGAAGCTTTTATTCAAATAAAAATTAATATATTCTCATAAAATTACTTCTAAAATTTCAAAAATTAGGTTTTTTAAGCTTTAGAAATTTATTGATACGATTTAATATACAATGACTTATTCATATCAGTTTTCATATTATTTTCACACTCTACACAAATGATGTACTAATTGTTGCTAAGAATTTACATCAGGTTACATGGTTAAAGTCACTATTCAACAAGAAATTTGACAAAAAGAATCTTAGTGCAGCAAAAAAGATTATTAGAATGGAGATTTATAGGGACCAAGTAAGAGGTCAATTGTGGTTGAGGTAGAGGAACTATCTTGTCAAAATGATTGATTTGTTTATCTTACAAGTTGTTAAAATAGTAAGAACTCTTATGATGATGCATTTCAAATTGTCTAAGCTACACATTATTGAAATTTAAATTATTCCTTATGTTAGTGCCATAAGTTCTCTCATATATGCTATAATTTGTATAAGGCCAGGTATTACTCTTGTCATTGCACTTTTGAATAGGTTTATAAGTAATTTGGAGAATGGGCATTAGAGTGTAGTGAAGTAGATTATTCAATGTCAAAAGGGTTCTAAATATTTTATAATTTTCATTGATAGACAAAGTTATCTTTTAACAAATGATTTTGTTAATTCTAAATTTACATATGATTTAGATCATCTAAGATCTATGTGTTGGAAGTCAACATCATGGTCTATTATCGCACTATCCACAACCAAGGTAAAATATAGTACGGCAGTTACAAATATAGTTAAATAAGCATTGTGGTTGAAAGGATTGATAAATGAACTTAGGATTTGATAGGGTAATTCCTATACTTTATAATAATTAAAATATTATTTCTTTGACAAAGAATCAGATCTAATGTTCACAATCAAAGTACATTGATATAGACTATCATAAGAACCATGAGTTACTAAATTTTGAGGAGATCTTTATACAAAGAGTTCACATAGAGGAGAATGTCACAAATATGTTGTTAAAAATCATCATGTTGGAGAAGTTTAAATATTATTTGGACTATTATAGGTACCTTGAAGTAGGTGGAGCACTTACAACATGGATGAATGACGATTCCAAATAGAACTTAGATGTTTGCCAAAAAGTAGATTTTATTGGCATCAACATGAGATTTTTATGTTTTAATTAATTTAATTATTTCATTTTTTGTGTTAACTTGAAGAATAAATATATGAATATATTATTAATTTTAGAAGATGAAGTTAAAATACTTAGTGTAATTTTCTATTATTAGAAAAATATTA